AATATTTTTTACCCAGCTTAACTGATTAGCTTTATTGATATTATCTGCAAAAATCGTTATAAGATACAGTGATTTGCAGGGGAAACTTTATGAAAATCAGCTTAACTCATGCAAACAATATCAGAGTTCCTGTGTTTTTCAGAAGTTCTATTTCATCCCGCTTCATTTTGCGTTCTAAAATGATAACAAGCATGACAATGGTTAGAGATGGGAGTCATGAACACGATAATAGTAATTACCACAAGGGTGCTACGATATGAGCATATACTGTGATCAAGCCTCTATTCCATGATTTATCCTTACAAAAGGTTCGTATGCTACTCACTACGCCATCCGAACTCTCAGCTTTGCAGTCCGCTCAGCTATGTTTAGAATGAGGTGAGATCCGGGTTCTGTTCATGTCTCAAAATCCTTACGGCTGCAATTCATATCCCACTCTATGTTCAAAAAAAAGAGCAAAAATCAGCATTAAAAATAAACTCGCTATGGTTATGATTAGAGGTTACAACAAAAACTCAATGTCAAATACTTTTCACAGCTTAAAAGATTTCATTTATTCATTCATTTCAATTTTCAGAATGAGAGTTATACTAGTAATATGCTTGGCCATGTGCTTAGGCGGAGGAAAATCTTATAGCTTGGAAACGACAAGTAAACAATCCATCAGTGAAAGCAGTTTTGAAAAAGAATTGAATCAAGGATATGATCTTCTAAAAAATGTAAGTCCCTCTGAGTATCATTATATCCATATATTATCAATATATGTACTGCAGCTAATGTGTTTTGGCTATAGTACGCTTTTATTAGGAACCGTACGAGAAGGATACAGTCAATATTCTTAAGCAGTTGCACGATATGGAGGAAAAAATTAAGGATGAAGTCGCTCAACCTGCAGAAAAGGATTCTGAGTTACTGAATGTAAGCACAACATCTCCGGTCCGAATAAAACCAAAAACTGATATTAAGCTTCCAGAAATTTGTTGAAGTCGATAACGATCACAATCTAACAAGCGGTGATACTATTGAAAAAATCAACCACAACACCAAGGTTGACATGGCGTTATTTCAAGGGGATATAATTCTCACTAAGTTCGTCCAGTTGTAAGATTATTTCATAGATTTCAAACTTTCGCAAACCATGTCCTTTTTCTAGAGATCAAAGTGAAGAAATCATTGAAGACATAAAGGGAAATGGAAGTCTTCGCAACAGACGACAAGCTTCAAAGACAATAAATATCCTAAAACTTTGTGGTCAGATGGAGTGAAATACACTTTCTCGGGAGAATGTTAGTCTTCTTAACGATTGCACTCTCTCTTTGATTCTGGATTTGCACGTAAAAGCCAATGTAAATTAAGTGGCGAATTACACAAAAATGCGTTTAAAGAGGGCGCCGAGATATGGTCAAGGGACACTTGCATTGACTTCGTGGAAGGACAGTACAGGTGGGACAAGAACACTGGTCAAGCAATTACTGATGCATTGAAATTATACACCTGAGAGAATTGAATGGTGAGCAAAAACACGGCCTCAGGCGGCAGGCTGGTCGGGCAAATGCCTCGGTGGTGTAGTGGTAGTAACACGCGTCCCCGGTATGAATGAAATGCGTGTTCGATTTCCGCCTAATGTCGTGTTTTTGCTCACCACTCAATTCTCTTCTGTATCTAAAGTAACGTCGTAACACTGCGAAAAATGCAATAAAACACTAGAAGTTTGGAGCACTGAAGTTGCTTTAACGGAAAGAGAGCTCAATCAGCAAGTTTTTAGCTAGCGATAGAATCAATGTCATACAACAAGGAGGCTGTTGGTCATATGTCGGAAGAGCTGGAGGTGTGCAAAGTCTGTCACTAGGGCAGTACTGTGAATCGGTATGCTTTTGGTATAGATTAATTTGACGTTTTCCGGACAACGTTAATGGAAAGAATTAACCTTTTTATCCCTGCAGGTTGGAACCGCTACGCACGAGATTGGCCATGCATTGGGTCTTTTTCACACGCAGTCAAGACATGATCGTGACAATTTCATCACAGTTCATTTAGAAAATGCCAGGGTACGTTTAAAAGCACTGATCACTACGAATGACAATATGTAATTCAGTCCGGTTGGCTATCTCAGTTCAAGTTAGAAACTGAAAAAACCAATTACAACTACAACCTGACGTACGATTATGGAAGTGTCATGCACTATGTAGCATCAAGGTGGGCATGGACGAGGTGACATTGGTACAAAGCCACGATGATGTTGTAAGAGTTCCAATTACAGTGCCTCAGAAAATGGTAAACCTACAATGGTACCTCACGATATCAAATACCTGAGAACCCTTGGATCGCGGGAAATCTCATTTTACGATAAACTTATGATCAACATGCACTATGGATGCCTCGGTGACAAGAAGCCTTTAGATTTCTACCATACACTTTATGATTTCACTCCAAACATTGAATTTATCTAGATAGATGCAGCGGAAGCTCGTCAGCTTCGTGTAAGAATGGTGGATACCCTCATCCCAGAAACTGCTCTAAATGTATCTGTCCTAGCGGATACGGTGGTCCATTTGCAATAAACGGGTAATAATAAAATTTTTGAGTCATTTCATCTCCTAATATTTATGCCGATGCACAAGCTATTATTTATAGCCAAAAGGTTGCGGGAAGGTAGTGAAAGCAACCACCTCTTTCCAAAAGCTTGAAGAGACGTTGCAAAAAAATACACCAGACAGCGCAGGGGACAAATACACTGCAGTGTGCAACTACTGGATTCGGGTATTCTTATATAATCATAATTCAAGTAATAAGGAGATTTGATAAGGATTTTTAAGGCACCAGCTGGTTCAACGATTGAGGTAGTGTTTGATGGCTTTATGTTAGGTCTAGGCAGCAATGGTTGTCCATATGGGGGAGCCGAGATCAAAACCGGAAGCGATAAGCGTAACACTGGTTACAGGTGACTATTATCTGATATTATGGTGGACTAAATTTTCAGCTGTAATTGTTTAGATTCTGCGGCTCGGAGAGTGCTGGGACATCTTTGATTTCTACACACAACATCGTCCCCATCATCATCTCGACCACGCTGGATAATGCTACAACTGTTCTACGTTATCGAATTGGTAATCTCCACTTAAAGGAGTAGGCTTTACAGATTTTTGTGTAAGCCGTTATTGCCACACGATTTGCTCCAGCATCCTCTGGTCCAGTAAATTCTCGGACATCTCCTCGAACGACTACGCGAACTTCTTCGCCTAACCGCTGATTTATTGACAACCAGAAGTATGTACAAGTTATTTTATTCTATATGCTTACGAATCATTGATAATTATTTAGACGCCTTGCTCAACGTTATTTGGCTTCTGCAGTTGTTCCGAATTTGACAGCAAAACAAACGAATAATCATGCAGTCTTCATTCTTAAGTTATGTCTCCAAATTGAAATGAAGTTCATATTCACTATCTAAATAGGGTACCTGCTCGTACAATACGTAAATAAATTCATGCACACAGGTGGACATGCGCGACGGCTCTTTTCTGTTATCTAGCGACAAGTAAAGAAACGCCTCTTTTTGTTAGAAAAGAACTTTCCATAAGAGTGTCAGTAATCATTTGAAAGCTTTTATTATTTTTACACTGGTCGCGCGTTTTCAAATCTACTTAGCTGGAAGCACGAAAAGAACATTTTCGCATAGAGGCATTTTGTGGTATCAGAATATATGTGCTGCCTGGAGTATCTTCTAAAGCGGCGAAAATATCCGTATAGATTCAAAGATTACCATCTTCTCACTCCGCCCTCCACTTTCCCCCTGCCTACGCCCAGCTCACACTTTAGGCGAAAAACAAAGATCGCGTATGTGAAACACAGTCCTATTTTCTCTGCTACATTGCAGTGAGATGGTCTTTCTAGAGAATAAGCACAGTATTGGGATCGTGAAAATTTACACCATCGAGGATGCTTGAAAGGGATAAAAGGATAAAGCTCTCGGGGTTGATCAATCCCTGAGGGATGCACCATGCATTCTCCTTCAATTTCTAACTCTACTCGAAATGAATAAATAGACATCTTAGGGTGACTCGCAGTGGGCCTGCAGCTGTATCGAGTCAGTGCTGCTTGTCAGGTACCAATTTATCGACCCCAGAGGGATGGATGGTTCGGTGAGCCATGAACGCGAGATCGAACCATTGACCTTGTGTGCGACGCAGAGCACCTCTAACCACTTTACTACGTGCGCTTGTTTGGATACTTGTAATTTGAAAAAGAGCGTTGTTTTGTGTGAAAAATATACGAAGGTCAAGTACAAATCTTTTCTTTCTATTACTGCGTTACAGAAGACTTTTCTAAAAAACACTCACGTTGCAAGATAACCAGCGATTTAAGTTTTTGAATGATAACTAAAAGTGCAATGGGAAGTCTTTATCTAGCAAAAAAAATCGTTCCTTCATTTGTGACCACACATCAGAAAAGAACTCGCGACATTAATCATAAGGCTCTTGGAAATGAGCAACACCTTCAAATACGCCGTGCGTCCGACTCTATTCGTAGCAACACAAGGGTCACCAGAAGCAACTTTATCCTAAGCAACCACTTGTCGGAGCTTACTAATACATTGAAAGGTATTTGTAACGAATTTGCCTATTTAGAGGAATCAAACTTGCTCTTTTAGTCACATGTGAACACATGCAATATAGAATACAAAGCAATATATTCACGTAATGGCTGATGTTTGAACAGTATCATCTTCTGCAGAGCTCAAAAGGGTAAAATTGACTCACAGTCTAATCACAGATGCCATAGCATCCCAGAGAAAAGGCTTCTCAATAAATTTTGATTCACGCAGCATACAGACTTTGACGTAGCATGACCCCTATACTGTATATATTGGTGAGTCAGTGTTGGCGACAGCTTTTCTAGATGATAATATTACGCCAAGATAGGGCAGAATATCACACTAACCACAATAGTTGAACAAACCGATGTCAACATGGATGTAATGCTTTAGTGAAGCAAAACGGGAGCCAGTAGTGCAAGGGCTGAAGCACGCGCTCCCAGAGAGAGCGTGGTGCGGATTCGAGTTCCGCTTGACGCGAAGGTTTGCACATCACTCTACGTCAGTGGATATATTTATAACATATACCACCGCTAGAAGCGGTTAAATAAAAAAGAACTCTATCTGATCATCTAACACCCAATATCTGTCAGCGTAATTGGGTTTAGTGTTTAGTAAGCGACTACCTGGGCCAGGCCGTTGACAGTTAGTTACTGACAGATAGATGAGCTGTAGCGTAGAAAGAGTGTGAGCAAAACAGGTGTCACTAGTGCAACGGGTTAGAGCACGCGCTCCCGGACTGAGTGAGGAGTGGGTTCGAGTCCCGCCTGATGCGAAGGTTTTGCACATCACTCTAGATCAATGGATATGATATGCTTTAGTTGTTCTCTTTCTTCACCATATTTTCGGTGAATGGAAGTAGGCAAATGACATCGTATTATTTCAATCATTTTTTATGGAATAAGAATATGACAAGTAAAACGCTCATTTTCAAGCGAAGTGAGACGAAAAAATAATTTGAACTAAGACGAAAGGGATCGGAAATTTACTGAATTGCAATCTCCTCATGCCATCAGTAATATTTCGAGGTTGCACAGCTTGATTAACTAAACAGATGTCAAAGATTTCCAGCTCAGAAAGATGAATGACTTGGGGATCGCTCTACACAATTATCCTAAGATTACACTGCTTTAGCATTTATTTAGTGTCTATCATTTCCCACGGTATGGTTGAGAAAAGACTAAAATGATAAAAATTTCGTTGTCGCCAAATCCTCGAAGAATTCGCCCACATTCGACCTTATCTAGTATCCTTGGAGATGATTCAGCGCATGTCAAGCCAATACAATGGCTTGTAGGGGTTTATCGACCTAACAATTCAGTGATACTACTTGCTAATGTAGAAATGGTTCTAGATTTGTCCACTACGGAATGGAAGGCTTGGTGAAGGGTAAAGTATGGTACACGACCGTTTGAAGGCCTCGCTGGATAAAAATTTCTCTTAGACGTTTGGAAGTCATTAAAAGGCTTAAATCTCTGTGATTCCATCAACATTTTATTTTTGAGTAGAGACTTTTTGTTGCGTTGTAGAAGCGAAAATGAAATTGTGTTTCACACTCATTCCGCTTCATTTGATCGTCCGGGAATTCAACAGGCCTCTTTACTAATGCATTAAGCCCAGATCTCGAGGATTTTGATTGTGTTATTGGTTTTTTGAGAGATTCTCACACAACGCTGTGAGAACAAAAAGAAGATTACATTTCACATATTGAAAGTTACCCCGCTGCTTGGACGGCATAGGTGGTTTATTGGCAATTATTGGCGAAGTTTTTATATCAAGGTATCTTGCTATTACATGAACAATGGAATATCACGAATAGTCTTTTTTTCGAAGGTCTTCTAATTTAAAGAGCAACTGTATCTCTTGAGATCCTCTTTTGCAGCAGTAATATCACATCCTCGTAAAAAAACAAACAAACTTTCAACCCTTAACGTGCATTTACATCGCCTGTCCTGCGAGATCGTAGCTTGAAAGCACATGTTTTACAACTAAGCACCTCTGATAGAGGTTTATGTGGAAGCAATTGTTTTATGAAGCTCAACTAAGTGTAGAAAGAGCGCACGTTCATTACTGTGGAGAATGAAGTCCTTCCCCTATCAGCATCCATATTAAAAAGGATTTTTTGCTCTTTACAGACGTTGTAGTAGTCATTCGATAGCATAAATTTCGAGAATTTGAAAGATGTATTCTGTTTCTCGAAATTCCTTGTTATTACGTTGCAACAATAAGAAGAAAACTCTATTTCACGCTCAAACATTTCTCGCTGAGCGAAGCTTCTCAAACGATGCAGTGATTACTCGATAACACAAATTTGAAAAAGCTTAGTGCTTTTTATTGCGTTATAAGACTAAAATTAAGATTCCATTTCGCATAAGACGCACATACTTGCACCGATATGTGGATGGATTTCGCAATGTTGACAACAAGCAATAGTTTTTGAATAGCCAACTGATAGCTCAGATCTCGGGAATTTCAATGGTGTGCTTGTCTTTTGAAAAACGGCCTCTTAGCAAGCCGTAGTAACAAGTTTGCGCATCTGAGTGCTTTTCGCGGGATACGGTCTTTCTCCCAGACTTCCATGCCCATTCGATGGCGCAAATCTTAACGATTTCAATAAAATGTTTTGTTCTTAAGAAAGACATCCTAGTGCGTTGTCACAGTCAAAAGAATATTGCGTATTGCACTCAGCGCATATCGCTTGCCACTTGTAAACTGCGCTGCGCGATCAACTGCGGCGGGTGCGAAATTCAATCTTCTTCCAGCTGTAACAATGCACTTAAACGTACTAATTGAAAAGCAAGAATAATATTGAAATTGCTTGCATTTGTACAATCAATGGTTATTGAAAGGCTGAATGAAAAGCTCTGTTCAGCGATAGATGCGTGAATGCGAAATAAAATCATATTTTTACTTTCACAGTATAATATAAAAGCCATTCGAATTATAAAATAAGCCCTTAAACTCTCGAAATTCAAACTGTCGATTAATTTTTGAAACGTTAAAGAGGAATACAAAGTAAGTTTTTCAAATATGGGTACGGATAGTGGAAAAGTACCCAGAATGTTTCTTTAGAGACAGATCTTTCTAAGCAATAGCTTTCATAGTGCTGGTGCTCCAAACCTTTTACTTAATCGACTGGTTTCAGACGTTTACAGAGTCATGAAGCGTTTCAAAGAGACTAGAGGGACTGAGGGAAGTCTTTCAGAAAATCGTCCATCGACTTCGTCCACTCCGAAAGCATTCAGAAGATCCAATGCCGAGTTCAATGAAACCAGAGCTTTTGATGCGCAATGCCTCGGGAAGTTCAAGATCAGCGAGTGGAACGTCGAACACATTGTTAAAAGTAAACGGAAAAAGAACGGCCTTTGAAGACTCGCCGAATAATTCCTTTGATCGGCGGTGATCGGTCGTCGAGGGTGCTTTTTACGGACGAAAAGATTTTCATGGTCGAATACTCCATAATCGCTAGAATCGAGGCGAGCTCCTCAAAAATGGTCAGCAGGAGTCCGCAGTAACAGAAACCATGGGCCGCAGTCATTTTCCGGACTATATGTTGGATTGGGCCAGCGTTTGCGTTACCGAAGAGACGCCACTGGTCTTTATCAACGGAAACATCAAAATCAACGCTGCTAGCTATTAGCAGTATGCCAGATAATCATTTTTGAACCACGCATGCCATGTGGTCATGTTCAATGGCCCGATCTATAGAGCCCGATACACGTGTTTCGACCTTGACGGTCTAGTCAGTCGGGCAGCTACCCTTCTTCTTACCAATCCTCTCGGGGCTCTCAGCCCCCTAGACTAAAAGTAGGAGACGATGACCATTTTACACTCTATTTCCGTTGAAATTATCATCGAACACACAGTGTTATACACTCGATTGCTCCGGGCTGTTATCATTATTATACCACACCTTTCTTTTCGCGAAACACGTGTATCGGGCTCTCTAAGTCATTCCATTTAACAAGACCACATGACATGCGTGGCTCAAGAATGATTACCAGGCATATTGAATGCTGGATTATTATTAAGACGTTAAATGTTAAATATCAATGAGAAAAAAGTCGAAAAATTAAGCACAGGCTTTAACACGTAAATTCCATGTCACCGTTGCCGCAGCTCGACGCTGACGTTTTTTCAAAGATCAAGCCCCGTATTAAATCGTAGTCCTTCAAGCGATCGACTGACTGAGTATTCTGATAAAAAGCATTTTTTGAGGAAAAAACCAAGATGAGTGCAAAGCACACTATATAGTCCGAGGCACACGTAGTTTTCCTTCGTTGCCAAAGCGCACCAAAAAAGTCTTTTCAGTAACCAAGCTCACTATCAACTTCCCAATTTTTTCGGCTATTGAACAACTACTAAGAGTTTAACAAGAAACCTTTACCCACGGGAAAAGCTCTGGAAAGGCCAGTGTATTATATTTGATACACTTGGACTCCAAAGAAAAGAAATTGAAATTGGAAAAAAAATTGAAATTTGAGTGGGGTCCTGAGAAAACACTCAAAAAGAAAGGTATGATATGAGCAGCATGTTTTGCGGGACCTACTGGAGTCTTAAGCTACTGAACACTTTGGCTCCGACAGATTTGCGCCTCTGTAGAACTGGACTCCTGCACATTCAGCCCACTTAACAGTCTGTCATGAGCTGATTGCAAGCTTTTACGACAAAGAAATTAACCGAACCTGAGCTTGGTAGATTAATCCGTGTGGCCCACATTGGACGAAAAAGTTTCGTATACTCGCTACACTATCGTAGACGCTCTCGTAACGGCTTTTACACACGCTTGGGACAGAACTACGGTGGAAATGTGAGAGTATTACTAGAAATTTTCGCAAGCGACTTTGTCTCTGTGAATAGGCCAAGGGAGGCAATTTTAAAAATTTGTTACAAATCTTTTTGTTTATTAGTAGCTGTTGATCTAATAGTACTTACTCCTTCAAGGAAATGAAATTATTACATAATGCGCTACTTATTTGCTGATGAAATACCTGGGAAAATTATCTGAACTCTTCTCCCACACTATATATTAAGGAATTTTGATTATAAGATCGAGTGACGACGGGATTAAGGCGAGGTACAGAGGGAGATTGTAGAGCTACATCTCGTTTATACATGATGAGTACCAGAAGGAGCTCAGACCTAATACTCACGTGGAGGATGTCAGTACTGCTTATCCTCCCAGACATCTGAGGCCTGTTTGGAACCAATTTACCGACCCCGGAGGGATGGATGGCTTGGTACCATGCGAGATGGAACCATTGATCTCGTGTGCAACGCAGAGCACCTTTAACCACTGCGCCACATGCGCTCACTGACAGGATTACCACTAAAAAATGAAAGCATTTCATTATTATTTGAGCCAACATGTCATGTGGTCTGGTAAAGGCTCTTGTACAGCCCGAGGCACGTGTTTCGTCCTTACAGACTCATCAGCCGGGCAGAACCCGTCGTCTGTCGATCTTTTCATAGTCAGTTCTCTCGGGAGCGTCACACTCTTTATATATAGTTATCGACGACCTACGCTTTACAATCTATGTCAGGTGAGACATTTCACCTAACACTGAGTGTTTTCGCACTCGATTGCTAGCTGCTGGTATTTTTATCATATTATGTCTATTGATATTAATATCCTAATACTAATGTCATATTAGACACGTGTCTCGGGCTGTACAAGAGCTCTTACCAGACCACATGACATGTTGGCTCAAATAATAATGAAAGGATCTATTGAAGTTTGAGCGTGGTCTTACTAAAACACTCGAAGGACTAAAA